ATTTTTGGTAAGTTTGGAGGCAGAACTTTGAAATGTGAAGCAAAATTTGACTTGAACTAAAGAGATGTCATTCATTGTTTTTATTTATTTCACTTTGTATGAATATTCAAATATTTTCCTGCAAAACAACTACATGATTATAGGGTGCTTTTCCATGCCCCACTCAGCGTATAATGCAATATGTGGTACATGCATCTCCTTTGTAAAATCTGAAAAATTCTCAATTTTGAAATACATTAGGCCCCAAAAATTTTAGTAAGAGACTATAGAGCCTGAAGTCATCTATTTAAAACATCACATACCTTGGAGAGGAATTGTGCAGTACCTCTTGTTTTGTTGTTGTTGTTGTTTTTGTTTTGTTTTTTTTTTAGACAGGGTCTCACTACGTAGTTGAGACTGACCTGGGACTCACTATGTAGCCCATGGTCTCAAACTCACAGCAATCCTCCTGCCTCAGCCTCTTGAGTGCTGGGATTATAGGCGTGCGCCACCATGGCCCGCTGTGCAGTGCCTCTTAAATATGACCAAACTTATTCCAATTATGTAAGGCTAGCAGCACCTTCACTTGGGATAGAAGCCGTAACTTTTCCAGATTACTGGGTTGTATGTGTAGTCTCTCAGAGGAGTAGAGTGGAGAACTGGTGTGGTCTGAGCCTTGGGGAAATTTTGGAAACCTCTGGAAAAAGATATACCATACAGTGTATCTCTGCTAAAGGAGCACTATTCCCGTGTATTGGGTTAGAATATCAAAAGCAAATCTAAGAAAAAAATATGTCCCAGAATAAACACAAAAACACCTGCCCAATATGTCAGCGATGGCAGCAGCAACAGCAAATCTTGTGTCTGGTACTGTCCAGCAGAAAGGCATGACTAAATGAATAGCTTCACGAGGAGTACATCTTTATTTAGGCAGTTCTTTCAGAGGTTTTCATTCAAGAGCTATAATCCCAAGTCCCAAGCAAACTTCCTGTGTGCCTATACTTTCTATGCAAAGCCTTAGAGACCACTATTTGCTTAGAGAAGGGGACTTATTGTACAGATGGTAGGCTTTCTATGAAAAACAAGCCCTTTCTGAAAGCTGAAGAAATAAGGACAACCTCTTTGAACACCAATCAACAATGCCGGGTCTAGAAAGCAGAATTCATGTCTTTAGTCAAAACCTTTAAGTTTTGCATACTGTACCCAACAGTATTTATCCAGCAGAAAGATTTCCTACAGATTCTTTATCACAATCTTTCAAGTTTATGAGATAGTGCTATGTACAAAATTTCTACAAGTGGGAAAAGCCACCCATATTAATGAGAATTTTTGAGTATAATTTGTTTTCTTTTTCTTTTTGGTATCAGGGATTGAACTCCAGACCTTGCCACTTGCGAGGCAGGAGGTGGAACCACTAAGCTAAATCCCCAGCGCTTTTGAGTATAATTTTTGCATGTTATATTAACCCTTTGGAGTCTTTTATAGACAAGGGCAGTTTTTGTTAAATATTTATTTTTAATAGATACATAAAATATTCCACTTAAAACCTAAACACGCAAAATTCCTAAAGCAAATGGACATTTTACTTAATACAATTGTTAATATACAGAAGAATTAAGTATTAGAAATAGTCACCAGGAAAGTATTTATCAGAAATTAAATGCTAGATTTTTGCTGACATCATCTCTGAGGGTCTTATTTACAATTCAAGGAAGGTAAAGGGGAAAGAATTCTCTTATTCTCACCAGGAAACCTGGGGAAACTTGTTTTTCTCTCCTTTAAAGATCATACTGTACTTATCTAATTTTATTAATATGTGTGTTTTTTATAATATACTTCCCATCTCTCACTGAACTTGTGCATTTTCACAGGATATGAGGAAATACCTCAAAGGACATTCATAACTAGTTCGGGCAATGGAAGGAAGGTGTACTAAGAAGCAGAGGTGCTAAAAAGTGCAAAGTCCTAAGAGAAGTAAGAATGGATACTAAATGTCAGAAATTGATTACTATTTTTTTCCATACAGATTGTCTTGTAAGCTTATAAAATGCTAAGAAAGCAGTTGATGAACTCTACTTTGTAAAATAAAAATAAGAGAAGTCCCAAGAGAATTGTAGTGAGCAGTCTAATAAGGAAGCCGAGTACTCTTAAGAATTCATAATCTAAGTTCAATCCCCAGTACCAAAAAAAAAAAGAAGGGCCGGGGATTTAGCTCAGTGGTTCGGTGGCCTGCCTTGCAAGCTCAAGGACCAGAGTTCAATCCCCGATAACAAAAAAAAAAAGAATTCATAATCTATATAATGTCCTCTACATCTGATATTTAGGTATTTCCTATAGGAATTAGGAGCAAAACCGAAATAAAAAGGAAAAAATACTTACTTTATGTAAAGATACATAAGAAACTACAAAAACAAGCAGTGAACATCTATACCTAAGGTAGTCATTTTATACAAAAGGAAGCTGAGTTAGAAAAATTAAATAGCTAGTTTTGGACACCAAAACCTGTGAATTCTCCTGGTCCAGCAACTATATGAATATGTACCACCAATATGACTGTGTGGCAGATGAACGACTCTCCTACACTGAAATGTTAGTAAATGTATGTCAGTTCTGCTTCACAGAGTATCCTTTGGGAAAGATGTTTAAGGGTACCTCAGAAAAATTCTGCATTAAAAACTCATTTTGGCAGTAAATGTGTATTTTAATAATTTTAGAAGGATTTCTAACTTGGTATCATCTGAGAAATGGTAATAGGAGGAAACAAAGAAAGGGCACCTTAGAAATCAATAACTCTATATGGAAATATGAACATGAAAATCTCCTTTCAATATTAACCATCTGAAAGCTACTAAGTTACTATATCAGCCAAACTTGCCATTATTCATTGTCACTTGTAATCATCTTCTGGTTAATGCAATACTGTGGAATTCCCCAGTTTATGTTTGAAGAGAGTAGACAGAAGTGTTGCTTTATAAAACCATTTTGATTATTTCGTTTGGTGCACCATTCCAAAGCATGAGTCAAAATAATCAAATACTGAAATTACATGAAATGGAATTTTATCAGAGGAAATAAAAGATGAGCCAAGGCAGGGCAATAAAGCCATGTCTTAATTAAATTCCTCTAGTAACACTGTAATTACGTTTTTTGTTGGCTATCCCAGACTTTTGTAGGAAAATGCTGCAACATGAAATGGATTCTATAAAAAGTTATTTTTTTGTTTAAATTTTAAGACAGTATATAAAAATCTTAGGTATGGTGGTACATTCCTGTAATCCCTGCACTTGGGAGGCTGAGGCAGGAGGATTGCTGTGAGTTCAAGGCCAGTCTGATCTACATGGTAAGCTCAAGGCTAGCTTGAACTACAGAGCAAGACACTGTCTTAAAAAAAAAAAAAGAAAGAAAGAAAGAAAGAAAGAAAGAAAAGAAAAAACACTAAAAAAACCAAAACACACACACCCACATACACACAAAAAAACCTTCCAAAACTTGAGCAGAAAACATGAGCTGCATTTTATCATACTAGATACTTTAAAAGTCTTATGACTTTCCTAAATATATCTTGCCTAAATTTAGATCAAATTTTAGCGATTAAAGTTCCTAATTCAAATGATAAAATACAGAGCAATACTGTCCTGTCTCCACAATGGATCTCATCATATTACTGCCTTATTTGAAAACATCCCATAGTTCTCTATTTACTACTATGATAAAACTCCTTAGATAAAATCTGGTTGCAACCCACATCTGTGGTACTGTTCAGCTTCTCTTCCATCATCTCAAGACTACCTGGCATCTCAGAAACAGGTTATGCACTTTCAAACTTTTCTAGTTTCAGTACTTAATAGTTGAGTGACCTTAAACAAATCTCAACTACAAAACAGGTAATAAAAGTGATACCTACACAGGCCAGGGATTTAGCTCAGTGGTGCTGCCCCCTGGCAAGTAAGTCCCTAGTTCAATCCCTGGTACCCTGCCAAAATCTAGGATTATCATGAGGGTTAAATGAGTTAATACAGTAATTCAATTAGAAAAACATACAGCATAAAATAAATGTACAGTGAGTATCACCTATTACTTTTATTATTTTCAATTGTTGCTTTCACTTCCTGACATACTGTTTCTCAATCTCTGCAGAGTAAACTTCAATTCATCTTCAAAATGTAACTCATAACAAGAGGAAAGCAACCCAATAAAAATGGATAAAATAGTTGAATAGATATTTTACCAAAGTAGATATGCCTAATAAGCTCATGAAAAGACTCAAGAGTATTAGAAATTAGGCAAATACAAATCAAAACCACCATGAAATATTTCACAACCACCAGAATGGCTATAATGACAAAGAAAAGGCTAAGGATATAGCTTAGTGGTAGAGCACTTTGCTTATTAGCATACACAAGGTCCTGGGTTTGATTTCTAGCACTGAGAAAAAAAACTGGAATTCATTTTTTAATGGGCAAAGAATATTTAATTTATAACAAAAACAAAAACTATACACAAAATACTTTTTAGTTAATGTTTTCAAAATTATTATCCTAAAGATTTTTCAGTGGTTGATAATCTTGAATATTTTTTATGAAAGCATAGTTGCTTATCATTTTTCATTATAAAAAATTAATTGCTCAAGTGTTCGATATATGTCCTCAGGAAACAGAATAGCACAGAAAGAACATTACTATTTCAATCACAAAAGCTGTATGTGTCATTCATTCATAATATTATTCTAGGGCCAGGGATTTAGCTCAGTGGTTCTGGCGCTTGCCTTGAAAGTACAAGGGCCAGAGTTCAATCTCCGGTACAAAAAAAAAAAATCTGGCCATAAGAAGCTCACATCTTTTCGCTGTATACAGTAAAGGAAACTCCTAAATTATATGAGAAAAACAGAAGGAAATAGCTGATGCAATCAGTGGCCCTGTATACATACATACAAGCTTCATCCCAACACCAGGCCCACCCTTCATTAACATGCAGACCCACACATCCCATCCCTCCAACCCTTTACCCACAGCCCCATATACCTCAGCTATGGTCATTCTCAGAGCACTGACAGGGGAGAGCTCAATATCCACCAGTTGGGCGGCTTTTAAACTCTGCCCAGTAAAGATTGCACAAGGACAGAAAACAGCATAGAGTTAGAATTTTAAGGCAAAATTTAGGGTCACAATAGCTAAGAACACTGAGTAGTCTTAGGAAACAAAGAAGAACTTATGTCTTAGCCCAGTTGGACTTTGGAAAAGAGAGATGAGAGCTGCTGTTTCTCTGATTTTTCTTAGGCAAATGGGCAAAGATAAAATAATCTCAAATTAGTCACACTTTAAAATTAAGCCAGATATACTTGCCATACTCTGTATCTTCTAACATTCTACTTAATCTCAGACTTTACAGAAGTCAATTATAGGACAATGTCATTGAGGCAGTACATAAAAAAGCTGATTGATAGTAACTATCACTTATGTAAAGGGCAAAGATTATTATCTAGAGGGAAATACTGATTTCCTACATTTATTTATATAACCACTAATAAGGCTACTTAAAATGTAAGAAAAGTAATGACATACCTCTAGCACATGTATTTCTACTAAACGATACTATCAAACCCTGGGACTATATAATAACCCCTCCAATTACATCTAAATGTACAAAATGTACCAAAAGACCTTATAAATATAACCTGACTTCCCTCTTCGCTTGTCTATATTGACAGGAGGTGCTAGTGATGCCAATATCTGCTTTCTCATTTTGAAGACATTAGATTTCACTTTTCATGTTATTAAACTAATGATTTGGCTTTTAAGAAAAACTCAAACAATGATAAACATTTCTTATAAACTCAAAAAATGTATGATTAATGTCTGCGCTTTAAAAATTGCCAGCTTGGGGTTTATATTAATACTTTAACATTCTAAAAGCTGAATTATCAAAGGACTATACTTTTTATAAAACCAACCAAAACATCTCCATGCATATATTTATTATTCCACTTATTAATTCTGTTCTGGTTAAAATTTAACCAGTGGTTTCTTTGGAAGGGTGTAACATTAAGAATTTCGTAGACAAAAGACATACTTTATATTTGAATATGTTGAATATTTCTTCTTCTCTCAGTTGTTTTCAGGCTTTTGGTAACTTAACTTGTCTTATAATTTAACCTCAGTACAAAATGGTGAGCATAATGATAATAAGTGTGTCAGCTACATTTTAGAAAAAAATGTCATGGTTTTTCTTCATCTTCACAGTTTGTCACAAAATTCGAGAGACATACTAAGCTCTTCCTGTCTATTCCAAGGATGGTAAGTTATTTGAGCACAAACACAAGTTAACAATAAAGGAGTCAAGAATATGGAATTCCCTTACAGTATCACTGTCACAGGGCTGGAACTGGAAGGGCTGAGGTTTGTGAAACACGGCATTCTCTTGTAAAAACAGCTGAAGATTATAGTCCCGTATCACCTAAAGAGAAAAAGATGTCTTTAAGTCTTTACTAAGTTTAAAAGGTCCAGTAATTACATTTTAACATTTAAGATTTATTCAGTTCTTTTCTATACAAATGAGAAATCAACCAACACTGTGGTAAAAACAAAATGATAATATTATACATTTTTTCACTTTTAGGTAAGATTTGTTAGTTATATGTCCTATTTTCTAAAATATCTAGATTTGGAAAGTACTAGTTTAGAAGTCCAGATTTGGAGACCAGACAAAACATAGTATTTTAATATAGCATGAAGATACAAAAAGCTATCTTTTGTAAGGGCCAATATGTATGTGAATGGGAAGCATGTTACTCTGGTTTCTCCCAGCTCTAAGGTTTTACGAGCCTCTTAAAGTTTCACGGAGGTTGCTATTCAGTAAGAAACTATCAAAATAATCCCTAGCACAAAATTGCATTTTTAGAGTATTTCTTGGAATATTTTCAAGGAGGTTGTGTTCTAATTACTATTTTAAAGCATAACAATAAGTCAGACTAGGAAGGAATCTATATAGAATTCTGATACACAAAGAAGAGCAAAATAAATAGCACAGAAAGACAATCATTTGAACAAGAACACATTGCATTATGTAACCTAGAAAACAGTGAAAATCAGCAGCATATGATGTGCAGAAACCCATTTTCTGTTGTGCTGCCTTGCTTACTCTTTAGCCATCTTTCATTTGCAGTAAATTACAGCTCAGCCAGAAAATGGCAGAAGAAAAAAATTCAAAGCAGCTCTGTAGCTTTATCTTGGTAGTCCTGGGAAAAGATGGATTATTTGAGGAACGGATTAAGTAGGGGATGTATTTTTCATTTTATTTACCAGTGCAATCCCAGTTCTCTATAGCTACCTCCCCATCACTCAACCAAACATTTATTGAGAGAGCTTCCTAGGTCCAATGTAAAGTGCAGGAGTGAGGAAGAATGAATATATGAATAAAATGAGCAAACAAGGTTAGTATTTTTCAAGAAATTGTATAATGTGGAAACCAGGAGAAGTAAATGGGTTACACAATTAAAATACACTATGAAAGAATGTAGAGGGCACAGGGAGAGCACAAGAGGGTGATATCTAATTCAGTCTGAAGGGTGGGGTAGAGTGGTTTGAGAGAATTTGGTTAGGAAGACACACTGAATAGACATATTCTTTTTTTTTTTTTTTTTTTTTTGGTACCTGGGATTGAACTCAGGTCCTTACACTTGTGAGGAAGGCACCAGAACAACTCGGCTAAATCCCCAGTCCCTGAATAGACATATTCTTAAAGGGATAGGTGTTTTTGCACTTTTCTTAGACTCTACTTATAAACTAGAATAACTAAAAGCTCATGGTGCAGCCATCACAGCCTCACTGATCACCATGTAGAAAAGGTATGTGGGTCATTCTTTTGGTTGTCAAACTTATCCTCAGGCATTGCAAACCAATTTGGGACCAGGTTTAGTGGTGCACACTTGTAATCCTAGCACTTGGGGGACTGGAGGATCGTTGCAAGTTGGACGCTAGCCTGGGCTACATAGTGAGTACAAGGCCAGCCTGAACTAAACTTCACAGTGAGACCCTGTCTCAAACAAAACAAAACAAAACAATACAATACACCACATCAGTTGTTGGGGGGCAACCTTTAAAAATGTAAAACTTTCTTGGGGAAAATTTCAAACATATGAAAGTAGAAGAGACAGTATAATGCATCCTCATATACTCATCACTTAATTTCCATCTACTCGCCTTATAAACCTATCTACTTCTTCCACCCCTAACTGTATTAAAGTTCCAGAATACCATCTTATCCATAAATCTTTCAGTAAGATATCTAAAAGAACAAGGCTCTTTTAAGAAAACATTTCAATATTCAAATTTATAAGTACTTACAAAACAACCAACTAACATTCGAATTTCCCTGTTACTTCTTTTAAGGAAATCATTTTCAAATCAGGATCCAAATAAAGTCCCAGAATACAATCAGATGTTTCTTAGGTTTGTTTCTCATATACCATAAGTTTCTTCTTTCTTTTTTCCCTCTTGTAATTTAAAAGCTGAAGAAACTAAGTTTTTGTTCTGCAATCACTCAGTCAATTTTTTTTTTTTTTTTTTTGTACCAGAGATCAAACTCGGGCCCTTGTGCTTGTAAAGCAGGTGGCGGAATCACAGCCAGATCCCTGGCCCTAAGTCTTAATTGTTTACTGCATCCTTGTATTTTATTCCCTGTATCTCCTTAAACTGAAATTTTGATCTTTAGGCATACTTGGCTTTTGTTTGTTTGTTTTCATGAGGAGGCTCGCCTCTTTTTATGAGATTAACAGCTGTAGAAGTGGATGGTAGCCCCTCAAAGGATATACTCATGTCTTAATCCCTGAAACATATGCGTTACCTCATTTGGAAAAAGTTTCTTCAAAGATGTGATTAAGTTAAAGATTATGAGATACGATCATTCTAGATTACCCAGATGGACCCTAAAGTTGGTAAGTATTTTTATAACAGACTCAGAAGAGAACACAGACAAAAAGGGAGGATGATGTGACCACTGAGGCAATGTTGAGTGATGTAGTCACTTGGCCAAGCTCTACAGGGAACTCAGAAGCTGGAAGAGGTAAGGAACTGACTTTCCCCTAGAACCCGTGGAGGGAGTACAGCTTGCTGACATTTAGATTTGACTTTTAGACATGGAAATGGAAAAAAAATATGCAAAGAGGTCCTGTTCACTTCCTAATGTCAACATCTTGCGTAACTATAGTACAATGACAAACAAGAAATCAACATGGTACAAACCATAAAGTTTATTTAATTATCAACTATATATGCATAATTTAGGTACTATGAGTACAGAAATACTTTTATCACATTTTAGCTTCATGTAATCATGACCACAATAAAGATACTTAACTGAACCATCACAGTACTCGTGTTCAAATATTTTCAAATTGGATGTACTGATTTGTATCCCATAGGGTAGTGTATAAGTTTCCATTAATCCCTATTTTTATGAACATTTATTATTTTCCTATCTATCCATCCATCCATCCATCTACACACCCACCCATTTCATGAAGACTGAACTCAGGGAGAACTGAATTATATCTCCAGTCCTCTTTAATTTTTTTGTTTTCTTGTGTTTTTAATTTGAGACAGGGTCTGGCTAAGTTGCCCAGGCTGGCCTTAAACTTTCATCCCTCTCTTTACTCCTTCTACCTCAGCCTCCTGAGTAGCTGGGATTATAAGCATGGGCTATCACATCTGGCTCTGTCTTTATTTTTGATATGATAATGGAATCTCCTGGTAGTCTTGATTTCTATTTCCCGATTATTAATGAGGAAAAGCATCTATATTAGGTAGTTGGAACTGCCACAACAAAGTACCACAGACTGGGTGCTTAAACATCAGAAGCTTATTTCTTCAAAGTCTGGAGGACAGAATTTCAAGATCAAGATGTTGGCAGAGCTGGTTTCTTCTATGTGACTGGCAATTGGACATCTTTTCTAGTACCTTCACATGGTCTTCTTTTGTACTTGTTTCTATCTTAACTTTATTTTACCATAATTATCTATTAAAAGTATCTATCTCCAAATATAGTTACTTGAGCAGGATTAGGGGTTAGCATTTAAAACACATGAATGTTTAGGGAGTTGCAATTCAGCCAATAACAGCTTCTTATATATTAATGTCTATCTATATTTTTTAATTCTGTGAAATGTACATTATATGATGGTACCAGAAGTTCCTTTCTTTTTTCATGAGAGTAATATAATATTCCATTGTGCCATGGTTTGGATTGAGAACATCCCCGAAAGGCCTCATGTACTAACAGGCAGGGCTTCTGGAAAGTGGTTCAATCATGGGGCAGGTGTGTGTGTGTGTGTGTGTTTGTGTGTGTGTGTGTGTGTGTGTGTGTGTGTGTGTGTATGTGTGTGTGATAGCTGACTTGTTATTATGAGGTGGGGTCCGGTTGGAAGAGGTAGGTTATTGGGGGACAAGGCCTGGCAGGGTCTATCTTCCTTCTTGGCTCCTCACTTCACTCTTCTTTCTTGCTTCCTGGCTCTTTTTGGCTGCCATGATGTGAACAGCTTACTTTCACCCAGGCCTGTCCATCATCCTGTTCCCGTGTTTAAACCTGACAAACATGAACTAAAACTTCTGAACTGTGAGCCAAAATAAACCTCTCCACCTTTAAATGGAGGGTGTTGGATACTGTGCTTCATTGAAAGAAAAGAGATTAAGACAGATTTTGGTACCAGGGGTTAGGTCACTGCTGTGAATATATTTGACCTTGTGGTTCAGAAACCTTTGTGGTTCACAGGTGGATTTTATAAAGGTTTGGAGATGCACACTAGCAAAACCCTAGAATGTCTTAATCCAATTTGATGGGACATTCTGATCAGTGCTCACAAGACCAAAATGCTCACAGAAATGCAGAATGTAAAAACCAGGCTCAGGAGATTTCAGCTGGAAACATGTATACCAATGGCAGCTGGACTCCAGGCCCTGTATTTATGCTCTGGCAGAAAAAATTTGTCTTTATTTTGCTCATGTCCTCAGACTGCAGGAGATTCAGATTAAGGGATACTGGATTAATTAATCTGGCAGAGGAAATTTCAAGAAAGCAGTACGCATGATACAGCCTGAATGTGCTCACAGGCAGAGCTTCTGGAAGGTGATTTGATCACGGGCAGAGAGTGAGTGTGTGTGTGTGTGTGTGTGTGTGTGTGTGTGTGTATTTGTCAGTGGAATATTGAGGTCCCTCACTACAACTGTATTAGTGCTTATTTCATTTTTCATATCCATTAATTCTTATTTTGTATAGTTGGGGGCATTAGTATTTGGTGCATATATATTTATGATTATCATTTCTTACTCTTGTTCCCTTTACAAGGATGTGGTGACCTTCTATGTCTCTCTTAATTAGTTTTGGTTTGAAATCTAGTCTGTCTGAAAATAAGATAGCTACCCCTGTTTTTTTCTGGGCTCCTGTCACAGGGATGACTGTTT